TATCTGTTCGGGCTTTAGATAGCAGACATATATCGGGTTTACCATAGATAAGATCCATGTCAAGTGAATACATATTTCAGGCACGGTCAGAATCAACTATAACATCTTTGGTTTTAGCATCCATGACCAAGATTCGTTGTTTGGTGAACAGAACTTCAAGATTGTTATCACACAGTTGAGAAACACTAATGAGGTTGTGTTTCAGGTAATCGATGAAGGCAACTTTCTTTATGGTGAAATTACCATTTGTTATGTTTCCATAACCCTTGATTTTTCCTGTCATGTTGTTGTCGAAGGTAACATCTTGATTGGTTTGTGTAGGTTTGAAGTCACGTAAGTAGTTCCGGTTTCCTGTCAAATGCTTGGAGCAACCACTATCAATATTCCATGTATCATCATTCGGTTCTCCAGCATTAAGTACCTGCAATCAGAGAGAAAGTTTAGGTACCTAAATCTGAATGGGTCATGGTTTGTCAGTTGGTATTTATTATGCTTAACTTAATGAATTTCTGTTAGCATTTAACTTCGCGTTGTTGTAAGAGTTTGGTTTATAATGATGAAATGGTAGAGGTTTGATTTGATTTATCAAGTATACCCAAAATGTGATTTGTTTTTGAAAAATTGTGGGTTGATAAGACCTGTGATTTGGTGAAAGATATCTTAGATGTGAAGGTTTGATTGAAAAGTTTACTTGATATCTAGGATGTGATGGGCAGTTTGAAATGCTTTTTGATGATAATGGTTTGAAACTTTCTGATGTGATGGTTTTTGAAAGTTCCTTGAATTATGAAAAGTGATATCTTGAAAGCGGTTTTCAAAAGGTTTTGGTTTTTGTTTGGAAACCTGTTTATGAGGTATGACGTAGGGTTGAACTGGTTTCTTTGGTTGGTTTTCAAAAATGCTTGGCTTGATAAGTGGGATTTTGGTGACTTGAATGGAATTTTTGCTTCTTTGTTGTTTCTTGGAGTATTTTTGTCCCAGACTAGTTTTCCCAATAATTGATGAACTCATTGTAGGAAAATCATTTGGTACACAAGTACTACCATCCTCATACGTGGAATTTTCTCCATTCAAAAGGTTTTTATGTTTAGTGGTTATGTCGGTATGTTTGATTTGGTGAGTTAAAGAACTAGCAGAGTCTGTTTCAGAATTTACAACTCTTTTGAAAGACTTTTTGAAAAGAGTGAAAACAGTATCATCTGGGCTACAGTTGATAGCTGTTTCGTCATTTGAATCTTCCTCATTAACAGATGTGAAAAGATCAAGTAGAGTGGATTCAGAGTTTTCACAATTTGTTATGTTTTCCTCTTTTGCTTGTTCAATTTCAAAGGATTCTCTTCTAATTCATGGTCTGTAATTCATATCAATATTGCCAGTTCCTAAGGTGTTTACCTTGTTGAAAATATCATCACTTAGTTTTCTAGAAACTTTGATATAATCCATATTCCATATCAGTCTTTTATTCTCGATTTTAAGAGAACTAATTTGTTTTAAAGAATCAGTCAGTTTTTCATTTAAAATATTGTATTTATCAGTTGATTCATGAAAGTCTTGTTTCTACTGAAGGATTTCCATTTCTAAAACATCTTTTATTTCAAAAGAAATGACTGATTATTTTTTTAGTTCCAAATCATTTTTCTGAATTAGGGTCTAATTTAATTGTTCCATGACGTGATTATAATCTTCTGATTTTCTTTCAACGTCTCTTTCCAATTTGCTTTTTGTTCTTGTTGATTCTCCAATTTTGAGTTGCAAGTTTTGTAACTCAGATTTGCAAATAACATAATTGACCATTGTGTCATGATATGTTTTGAGATCAGCTTCCAGACTTTTCTCAATCTTGGTTTTGTAGGACTCAAAAATTGCTTTGGAAAAACCAAGTTCAGATATCATAGACCATACATGTTCTATGACCTTGGGAGCTCTTGAGGGTATATCAACACCAGCCACGAAGCAGAAGTTTGATTGTGGTAGCTCATTATCAGCTTCGTCATCAGAAGTTGGCCAGTATTCCACGGTTGGTTCATGGATTGCCATCAATGCTCTTTTTTTTTTCTAGTTTCTTCAATTCGTGGGCTCTTTGAACATAGTAAGCTGAGTTTTTGATTTTGGTTTTGTTTTTGGCTCAGCATTCTTTGGCATAGTGATTTGTTCCTTGGTAGTTGTGACAAATAATCACTTCTTCATCACTGTCATCCTTTTGATTCTTAATCAGAAGTCTTTCAGGTGCTTGAGTTTGCGTTTGTTGGGAAGGTTGAGAATGGTTTTGTTGGAATCCAAAATTTTGGTTGTTTTGAAAACCGTTGTTTTTATTGTTGTAACCTTGATTTTGCAAACCTCTGTTTTGATTTTGAAAACTGTTGTTTGGATTGTGATTATGACCTGAGTTGGGAGTTGATTTTGACCTTGATTTTGCAAACCTTGGTTTGAGTTATTACGGAAGGAAGGCTTTGAGAGATTTGTCCAAAGTGATGGAACAAACAATCGAGTATGAAATGGATCATAGTAAATGTTTATAAATCAATTAGTAATTAAACACACGAAGTAAATAAAATTTTCACTTCAGCTCAATTACGCTTTAAGAGATTTAACAGAGAGAATAGACAGTTATGTTCAAGTTATCTAACTCTAGTAAATGATCAAATTTATAGTATACATAAAGCGTACAAAAAATATACTAACGCTAAAACACTTAAGCTTCGAATCAAAAGAGCCCTAGTAAAATATGTTACAAACCATACAAATAGTACACAATAGACTACGAATCATTACAACCAAACTACCTTTACATTCTCCCCCTTTGTAAACAGAGTTGAAGACTTCAGTTCGTAAGCAGTTGAATGGAGTACAACATTACTCTTCGTATCTCAGTGTACCATGAGATAACTTTCTTCAGTTCCTTTTTATCCCCTTCATTATTCTTCTTGCAATGATTCATACAAACAATCAAGTTCGTATATTGTGAAGTTGAATATCTTTAGACCTCACTTGCCTGGAATAAAAACCGTTTTGATTTCCCTGAGATGTCCTTCCCAGAGAAGACTAAACCAAAAGGCTTCAAGAAAATTTCTCCATCAACATATTTCTTTAAATCTGCTTGTATCTTCGAAGGAGCCATGGGTGCTGTAATTTCCAGTCCTTTAGCTGTAGCCAACTCCACATCCATTAATGCTAAGCATTCATAATAATTTTCAATAAAAATCTTGATGTGAGTAACTCCCAGCTTGTAGTCATCAGGATCTGTGTTCTGAAGATATGAAAAAGACCTTTCCTTCAGTAGGAATGCAACTTGTATAAGATCATACAAGTTCATTAAAGGAAATTCAGCAATTGTAAACTCGCACACATTCCCATTTGCCCTGGTCACCAGATACTTCATGTTTTGGACTGTGTTTTCGTAAACCACATCCTTCTTTATGCTTATGACCTTCTTTATCTTTGTCAATGGCTATACTTCTTCAGCATGCTTTGCAAGAACCGCATGAAACCAGATTTTCATTTGAGTTCCTTCATCCATCTCCTTGAACTTGCATTCTGCTTTAAACTGAGGCATGATGAACATCATCTCATTAATTGGAAAGTCTAACTAGCTTGCATCCGTATTCGTGACAATTTAAATCTGTTTTGGCTTCTTTTCAAACTAATACATGTTATTAAATACAACATTGGCTTCAATTTTCTCATAACTATAGTGCTTTGATGGATCAACCTTGTTCATGCCAGGAGGATCACTAGCCCTTTGAGTCATTATGCTTTGAATCGGTCTCATATTTTCCAGTTCCGCCTCAGCCTTTGCCTTCTTTTCTTCTTTAGATTTTTCTATAAGAATTGAGTTTCCCCTTTCCTTCGAAGCCGATTCTTCAATCATTTCTTTTGCATTCGAATCACCCCCACCAATATCAGCAGATTTACCAATCACAATTCCTTTCGAAATTGGTTTTGTGATTGGCACAATTGTTACCACTATCAAAGAAATAGGACCAGCAGTTGCTATCACTGGCTTTGTTGTTGGGAACTTTGAAGGAAACACCTTTCCCACCATTTTTGCATCTTCACCTCCAGCCTTCGAGCCTTCACTTTTCCTTTCTCCCCCTTGCACCCCTGTACTAGCAGGTGGGGCATTCGTTGTTGGAAGAAGGCTGGATATACGTGAAAGAGGAGCCAATTATTGAAGAAGTAAGGCTTCGAATTTAGAAAATTTCTAGATAATATCTTTGGAAGATAGCGGAGAAGACGAAGTTGTTGTTGAAGATAGCGCTTTGAGCTCCTTTAACAGTGTAAAAACTTCCATAAAATTCTTGTTCTCTGTTGTAGAAAGTTGAGCAATTTGAGGACTCAGACCTTCGTACAACTCGGCAAACTTGGTAACTGCATCACAGATGATATCCACCTTCTGATTTAGAGATGCAAATTCTGTGCAAACCACTACAATCTCCTTTTCCATGTCTTCGCGTAGCTCTTGAAGCTTAAGATTCACCTTCTGTCTCACCTTCTTAACATCCTGAATGAATAATACATGTCGTTCCTTTGCCACCATTTTCAACTCTTTCAAATCATCAGCAAACATATAACTTCTAAGCATTTACCTTCATTTCATTGCTATGATCACAAATATCAATTTTCTCCAATAAAAAAGACTCATAATCTCTGATCATCCCCGAATTTTCAAACGTCCCTCCAAAACCTTCGGACTCATGCTCAGTTTCCATAAAAGAAGAATATTGAATTGGTGAAGTTGTGGTAGGTGGATCAGTGGATTGTGAAGAAAAAAGAGATTTAATTGTTTGTTTGATAATGTTTTCGAAGGTAGGAGAATCAGTGGTGGAAATAGTAGGAACGATAGGTGCGAGTTGTGGAGGTAAAGAAACAATAATGTATGAGATAACATCTGAAGTTTTAGCTTGGTCAGCTTTATGCGATGCATCCTCACCCATTGTGACATTTGCATCCATATTAGATACGTTTACAAGAATGTTAGAAGTTTGTGCCTCCTCATTGACTTACTTGGCAACCAAATCTTCGGGTGATATAACATCGGTTTGTACAAAAGTAGAAGACTGTTTATGAAGATCGGCTTCTGGAGTTTTTGGAATTGTTTCATCTTTATCAGCAGTAGACTCAGAGGAGATAATGATTTTTCTTTTCTTCTTCTTCTTCTTAGAAGTATATTTTGCTATATTAGCTGCCCTTCGTTTCTTTGAAGATGGAGAAACATGCGTTGGGATCTCACGAAACAGGACTCCCTGATGAGTAACCTGTGGCTTTCGAACAACGTTCGTAAGTGGAGATCGGATCTTGTGTTTGGATTTTATTTTGATTATGTGAAAAAATCCAGTCTTCAAAGGAATGAGTTCTTTTTGAGTTAGTGGTGTATCATTAACTGAAACTTCGGGTTTTGGTGGCGCTACTTCTGTAACAGGTAATTGCTTTGGAAGTTGTGTAGATTTAGTCTCCTTGACTGGTTTCTTAGAAGAATCAACAGTAGTCTTCTTCGAATGTTTGGTCTTCGTTTCTTCTTCTCTTTCCAAAAGAATTCCAGTTACAACAGTGGTATCAATTGTTTGCAAGTAAGCCACTAAAACTGTGTTTGTAGGATCAACTCTTTTAAGCACGGCATCTGGAATACGAGCAACAACTGGAAACTCTTTAGTTTCATTAGTTGCATCCTTCAGACAACTATACACATGAAACACAACTTTTTCTTCATCTATAGGAACCAGAATCCCCTCCTTCTTATAGAAATATTGTAGAAAAAAGCACAAGTATCAGGCACACGAAATGCCATGAAGAGCATTCGTGTTTTCAATACTCTTCAAGAACTCTTTCCATAACTGAGTAGAGTAATCAACTTGAAGATCATAATATAAGCATGCAACCATAGCATAAACCTCCATTCTCCCCTTGTCTAACCCAATTGTTCTTCCAGTTAAACATCTAAGAAAAATACCAAACAAAAAATTCCAATCACTTGGAAGACCCGACTTCTTGAAATCACTTATCTTGGACAGTTGGGGTTGATGACCCATTTCATTGAACATATGTACAATTTGTGGGAATGTAAAATTTACATATGGTGGGGAATTAGGAATGTCGAGAATGTGACAGAAAAGCTTCGTTGATAGTCTAACCTTTTTATCAGTCACTAGATTGAAAGTAACTGCATCCAAGGCTTTTGAATAAGTAGCAGTTGAACCAGCTTGAGACAACCATGAAAGAGGAAAAGAGAATGAGTTGAACATGGCTTTAGACAATACAGATCTTTGCGGAGCAACGACGAGCATCTTAATTTCTTCAGGATATAGAGAGACATTTTCTTCAACTTGGTAATTTATACCATGAATCTTCATTATTGGCAACGAGGTAACATCATATGTAGTGTGAGACAGAGTTGCGTCAGGATTAGCAGTCGCCATTATTAGGGTTTGAAAGCGAGATTTTTAGCAGAGTGTATTTGGTAATATGAAAGCGTAAATTGAGAATGAACCCTTGAATCCCCTTTTATATGTAGCTTTTAATTTTGAAATCAAAGTGGGATAAGCATTTAATGATCTGTGTCGTCTCACCGAGAAAACCGCGTCATGATGACGAAAATGTAAACATGCATCATAAAGCAACTGTCACGCCTCCTCAAAACCCGCAAAGAATTCAAACAGTCCCCTCAAACAGGCTGGATTGTGTTCCCCAATGGAATAGTAACCATCGTAACCCTTCAGATGGAGGTAAGGCTCTTTTACTTTAGGGTTTCAAAGTAAATTCATTTGCCAAATTCTTGAAATCATCAGCCTGAGTTGGTGTTACTCAGAACCTCAAGGATTTCGTGTGTGTCGTGTTTCAAAGAATATAGATGAGAAGCAAGAATTTTTTTTTTTGGATATTCAGTGATGTCAAAACTTCAAATTGACACGAAGGCAGTTAAAACCCTGGGCAAAGATTTCTTCGTTAATTATCAAGAGAGATAATCAATAGCTTGTATATGTTCCCATGAATTACAATCAAATACTTGTAAAGAAATATCGAAGGGAATCTTTTAAAATGATTTTGAGGTGGTTTAATGAATTTCATTACATATCAACCTAAACATAAGGTGAGTAATTGTAATAGAAATTACTTGTTTGACTAGTGTATTCAGTGACAAGTTTGCTTTGAAAAACATTTAAGTAACATGGGATTTCTGATAAAACTCACACTGAAATCATATTCAAGAAAAAAGTTATATTATGGATCCTGTTGGGTAACAAACATCGTGGGTTTCAAATGCTTGATCAAGACAACTCATAAGAAATGAATATGATTTGGAGTTTCGAATGAAGGTACAGAAACAAATGTTTCATTAAAGCCTGGAACATAGTACCCCGTCAATTCCTTAAAGGTTGATTGAATTGGGTTTCACTTTCATAATGGTCTCATGATTTCTAATCATAAACACAAATTTGTGATATGTCTAGGTTTCGATTGGTTTAATCAGAAACCTCTTGGACATATATCTTCGTGTGTGATAGTGTAAGAATTTTGAGATGAAAAAGATTGATATACGAAATAACATGTACCTCTGTTGTTTTGGACCAAACAGTAAACTCTTAACTTATATAAGAAGAGTAAGGTAGCTCATTGGACTAATGCGAATGTAAGCCTAATTGGGAAGAAATATTCGTAAGAAAATTTCATTAAGGCTTTCGAACATTAAGTCATTTAGAGGCTTTAGTCAACATGCTGTAGCATGCTTCTTGGGACATTTTAACTAGTTCAAAGTGTGTGAAAAATACCTGACCCTAGTACTGCAAGCATTACTCTAATAGATTTAGCATGAAAATCTGAAACAAACAACAAAAAGAAAGAAAGAAAGAACACAAATATTTTTGTTTTTTTTTGAACTTTTGAAAACAAAATCTTTTGGTATTTTTGATTTTTTTCGAAAATAAAAAAAATATTTGTTGCAAACATGCGAAATTTAAAAGACTCAAAAAAAGAACAATTATACGAATTCGAATGATCCGAAGAGTTGAATATGAATAATAACCTTTTTCTTTGATGACGTGTCTCTGAACCATTTCTTTAGGACCATCATTCTCTTTTTTCACATGGAACAAAATTTCCATCGATCATTCCAATTCCTTACAAAATTCCCACGAACGATTTTTCAATGGGTTTGTGAAAATATCAGGTAACTGTTGTGTTGTTTTCACAAAATGCACTTCAATATTTCCATCTTTCACATCATCCTTGATAAAATGATAATGAAGCGCAATATGTTTAGTCTTCGAATGTTGCACAGGATTGTAACACTAGCCAAAATAGGTCAATAACAATCACATGTGATTATGCCAATCATGTAATGTGATTTTGTAAACTAATGTGATAAGTGTACTATGTATTTCATGATAAAGTCTAATATAAATATGAACTTTCTTTATAATACAACTCAAAGTATACGTCCATATGATTCCAAAAATATAGAGAACATCTGAATCTGACTTCTCATGAAGAAGATAAACCGAACACTATAAATCTCTACAATAAGAGAAATTTAAAATATACTTAGAATTAGCTATTTAAGTCTAAAATAGAGTTGTAGTACTCGTAAATACCTACGCGTGCATATAAAGAACGTCAAAAACAGAGTTCGTATACAAAAGTTATGGCATTCCGAAGATTCAGCTTTCAGAAACCCTAAGCTAACTAAATTCACGACGTGAGCTTTATGACACTCACGATGTGAGGAGTCATTTTGCCACATTTTGGAATCTGGAAGGTGTGACGAGGCTACGAGGGGATAGGATCTAAACTCACGATGTGAACAAGGTGTTTTTCACGACGTGAGGAGTCACATGGCCACCTTCTGAAGCTAGGGACGCAAAGGGCAAGTCTACGGGGTGATCATGCAAGACTCACGACGTGGGCCTTATGGAACTCACGACGTGAGAGTCCTAAATTCTTACTATAAATAGCAGGTCCGACTTCAGCTATTCCTTACACCATTTCCTTATCTCCTCTCTCCCTTGCTGAAGTCGTCTTGCATCCCGAGCCCCGACGATCTCGCACACTGACTGTTTTGCTTAGATAACATAAAATCACGCTACTAGGGTGAGTTTCACGGCCCCACTTTCTAATATATTTAGGGGAAAACGCATGCTAAATATTGTATATACGTTATTATTATGTTTATATGATAGTATATAGTTATGATAATCGAGATATGATTGTTCTAAATATAACATTTTGAATACATACAACTATTATTAACTTATCAGTATGTTAATTTACTAATGTAGATCTTGAGTTATACTTAGGATTCTACATATATGTTGTGTGCGATATAATACCGAAGTAATATTCGAAAGTTCTAAATGGTAAGTTATATAGTATATTGTTATTTTTGGTTTTATGTCAAGATAAAACCGGATATGTTATATGTTGTTATTATTAGTTTTATGTCAAGATAAAATTTGGTATTGTTATTGATAATTTTATGTTAAGGTAAAACTAGAAACATTATATGTTGTTATTATTGGTTTTAGGTCAAGATAAAACCGGGTTTTTACTTCAAGATATAGTTGTTATACTGCCTAAATATTATGAAGTTCGGACTAATGTTTAAAAGCATAGTCTAGTAACTTATGGTTTTAGACATGAAAATGCTTTTGTTGTTAGAGCTATAGGAAGCTGTCAAAGTCTACATGAGTAATTGTATTCATCAACTAAGATTGGGGATCTTAGCGGAAATCCTCTGAACTGTAACCGTTAATCCCGTGTGAGCGAGGAAGTCGTGTATAATTAGTATACGGGCTGACAACCCCACTTGTGACTGTTAGCTGCAGTCAACCAAAAGCAAGTGATGAACTATCCTTTTATTTGTTATTATTTCGGCATCGATGAAGCGTACGGTGTTGTTTGTAATGTTAAATCATGAGTGTATTTGTTCTCATGGTAAATCATGAGTGTATTGTTCTATCAGAGGTATTATATCATATCAGCGGTTACAGGCTCATGGTAGCAAATTGTTAGAAACATTATACCTTGTCGTATACAAGTATTAATGTGAAGTATACGTTTTTCCCTACTTATACCTTAAGATTAAGAAATGTTTAGGTATAACGCTTAATTGATAAGTATACCATTATACCTAATGTTGGAGAGTCAAAATGATAAGTATACCATTATACCTTAAGATTAAGAAATGTTTAGGTATAACTATACTTTTGAATGTGTAAAAATGTAGTATTTTATGGAATCAAACCCTGTGAACTCACCAACTTTATGTTGACGTATTTTAAAATGCATGTGTTTTTAGGAACTTGAAAAGCTGGTATATATTCGAACAGGAGAAGTTTTACTATTATCTTTCTGTTCATTAAGAAGTATGTCATGGTCGGATATTATGTAATAAATACTAGGAAAACAATAATGTAACTTTCAAACATCAATAAAGGTATGTATTTTCTTTAATAAATACTCTATTAGGTTTCGGTATATCCCTTAGCCTATAAATAAAAGGTATTATTAATTATACTATTGAAGGTCTACTTACAGGAGCGGTGACAAGGATAGACATGTCGATTTGGGTTGCTGGATTTCATAATGGCTATATGCTAAAATGATCCTGCCCTTTAGATAGTCCTGACTGGCCGAAGCCTTATCAGATAGGTCTGAAGTAACAAACAACAGTAAAAGCGTGAATACAGTAAATAAGAATATAGAGTCATATATAAAGACTCAGACCCGTGATGAGAATACACCTTAATACCCGGAATGTTTTTGATCTTAAGGATTTAGATCAAATATTCCAACTAAAGTTTATATGTACATAGATCCTATCACAACTAGGTGTAGGTGCGCAACTACATTTTATTAAGATCAGATCATATGAACTATTTAATTTCGGAGAAATATTTGATAGACTAAACTCTTGGTTATCCAAAATGTATAGGAATCTGACATGGCACATTCACGAGAATGGATAATCATCGAGGATACGAATTAAGAAGAGGAATTTTCATTCCCTATGATGTTAGGCGATCCTTACTATCCTGTAACTCCAACCAGCTTTCATCCAATACCTTCTGACGATGAAGCACCTCTACCCTCCAACCAATGGGAAGAGAGTGAACCAATGGAAGAAAGCGAATCCATGGAAGAGACTGAGTTGGTGGCATCATCTCTACCACCACTGAACACTCTTTACCGTAAAGTTCCAGGAGGAGTAAAAATGAAACGCACTGCATGTAAATCGATACCGATATGGAAAAAGATTAAGAAGAGTCAGAAGGCAACATCTTCATGAAGTCATAGAGTTCAAGATGAACCTGCACGGATCGCACAAACAGTTGATAAATGGATGGCAGAAGAAAAAGCTACCAAGATGTATGACACTAGTCAGTCATCTCGACCACATCTCCCACATTCTTCTGAAGATAACACTTTATCTCAATTGTTTGAGAAAAGTGTGAAAATTGAAGATAAGATGGAAATTGTCGAAGGGAGGGCTACTCATCTCTCTGGAAGAGTGCGAAGGCTAGAAGGACAAAGGACACGAGATCAGGAATCGGTGATGGACGTCCATCATCGTATAAATTTTGCTTATAATTACATGATTACTCACGATGCCAGGATTGCAGAGTTAGAGCTCTACAATCAAACCTCAAGAAATGAAGAACGCACGGGAAGTCTTGAGCAGAGAACTCAAGCACTTGAAGAACAAGTGGTTAATGTCACTGACATGTTGGGTCATCACTTAGGTTTCTGGTAGATAAGCTATAACTAGTGGTTATGTAAATAGAGAAAATCAGACTGGTTAAAGCGAAAAAAGGAAAGTTTATAGCAAGGATGTAGAAAAGCTTGCAAATTTTGCAATGTTTATAGAAACTTTTCTCTTATAAACCTAAATAAATTGATGTAACCACTGGTAATAATATGAAGCATACATTATAGTAATCATTATACTGTGAATAATAACTAGAGTATTTAGTACTCGTGTATTAAATGATCAACAAAACTCATAAAAATTCTTATTATTTATAATAGGAACTCAAACAAAATGCCTAGAAGGAGTAATCGACTAAACCCTAACCAACCATCAACACCACAACAACAACCACAAGCACCACCAGAAATAAACCCGTCAATAAGTACAGTGCAACTTGAAGAAATCATAGCTCAAAGAATTCATGCAGCTCTATCTAATGTCACAAGAGATGGAGATAGAAATGAAGGCCATGTAGGGACCGCTAGAACATGTACCTACAAAGATTTTATAAATTGTAGGCCAAAAATCTTTCATGGAAATGAAGGGGTAGTGAATTTGACAATGTGGATAGGAAAGATAGAATCCATCTTTCAAATAAGCTTTTGTCCAAATGATTGTAATGTACGATTTGCAACATGTACTTTCACTGACGCAACACTTACATGGTGGAATATCCATGTGAATACAATGGGAATTGATACTGCAAATTCCATGAAATGGGAGGAGCTAAAAATGATGCTAGTAGAGGAGTATTGTCCTAGGGAGGAAATACATAAACTGGAACAAGAACTGTGGACCCTAACCATGAAGGGTTCAGAGATCAAAGCTTATACCGCTAGATTTAATGATCTTGCTGTAATGTGTCCAGCACTTGTGACCCCTGAACATAAAAAGATTGAGCGATATATCTGGGGTTTAGAATCGCAAATGAAAGGCATGGTGATCGCATCAAAGCCTATGACTTATGACAGTACCAAGAGGATAGCTCATCAACTAACCCTCACAGAAATCCAAGGAACAGAAGTAGTCTCGAAGGCTGAGTCTCCCAAAGCTAGAACAAACAAGCGCAAGTTTAATAAGAAGAATCCCAAACAATCATCTGAGAAAAGACAAGAAGTGGCAACCAACTACGCAGCCACAACCGTAGTACCTACTCAACCAAAGGTTGCATGGTGCAACCACTGCAACCGTCATCACCCCAGGTGACTGTTTTATTTGCACGAAATGCAAAAAGAAGGGGCATACTGCTAGTTACTGCAGGAGCACAACACCTGCAACATTCAATCAACAAACAAATATTGGAATAGGTCATGGTGAAGAAAGAAAGTGTTATGAGTGTGGAGAGGTTGGACACAT